AGTGGAGTACTAGGCCTTTATGGGAAGTGATTACCCAAAAGGTTCCTCCTGCTTTGCCCAATAATGTGAATAATTGTCTTCTTAATAAACCTAAAAAGGACAAGATCAGAGAAAAACCAATGTGAAGAATCGTCTAGGTGACAAAGTAATTCCTGTTAAGGAACTCTTGGGTGAAAAAGTTGAATTCAAAACACCTATGATGCCTAAGAACAAAGACACTACTAAGGGCAAAGAGAAAAGCAAAGCTGACACTTCAAAAAAGAAGGTTTGAGTGGAAAAGAAACATGGAGTCCTAGCTAAGAAAGAAATCATTTACTCTAAAATTGAATGTAGGTCCTCTAAAGGATGCCTTCTAGCTAAAGTCATAGATGATGAAGAAGACACAAACAAGAATTGGAAAAGAGCAAAGAAAGATTGAAACATTGCTTAATTTCCAATTTATCAGACTAGTTTAAATTTTAAGTCAATTTATTTTATTAAGCTTTTACTTAAATTCCATCAATAATGTAATTTTTATTTTATTAATGCAATTTCATATTTTTTAATTAAATCAACTTTTCTTTTAATTTATTAAAGCAATGAAAACAACTTCAACTATTTTCCAGATAATTTCTCGAGTACGGAAGTCGAAAATTTTCAAAAATACACCGAAATTTTCCCAGATGTTCGCAGAAAATCGGCGCCGCGATTTTAAGTCTGTCGCTAGACGTTGCTTTCTGTCGCCCGGCGACAGGCTTTGTCGTCTTGCGCTGTAGTATGTCGAATGGCGACATAATTCTTTTTGTTGTGCTGATGTTGCGTCGAATTTTTATTGATGCTAAGATGCAAGGTTTGCAAAAATTAAAGTGGTCGCACCCTGTAAAGGGTTGCCTACGTATTCTTTCCTAAGGAATCAGGCCAAACGTAACTCTCTTGAGTGTCCTAAGTAAGTAATTATGGGTAGTACTTTTTAAGTTGGTCAATGTTCGTCATGTTGGAAAACTCATTACCATCCATATCAGTTAGTTTTGCCGCACCTCCTGGTATTATGGTTTTGACGATATATAGTCCGGACCAATTAGGCCTAAATTTGCCTCTTGGATCCGAAACATTTTTCCTTAAAGCTTTTAACACCAAGTCTCTTACTTTGATGTTTCGTGTCTTGACCTTCTTAATAAAGTGTCTAGCCATACGGGTTTTATAGCATTGAGTATGATGTAGAGCTTCTAGTCTCTTTTCATCGAGTAGAATTAGCTCTTCATATCTTGCCCTAGTCTATTCGACTTCATCGAGTTTACTTTCTTATGCAATGCGTAGAGAAGGTATCTCTAGCTCTACAGTTTGTACGATATCTATTGCATAAACTAAAGAGAATGGCGTATTTCCTGTTAATGTATGGATTGACGTGCGATAACCCCTAAGTGTAAAATGGAGATTTTCAGGCCAATCCTTGTAATTTTCTGTCCTTTTCTCGATAATAGTGTTTAGATTTTTGTTAGCCGCCTCAACTGCTCCATTTTCTTGAGGTCTATAAGGAGAGGAATGATGGTGTTGGATACCATATTTTTGTAACAATTCTTCACATTCTGCTTGAAAGTGAGTTCCATTGTCACTTATCATCTCATGGGGGACTCCATATCGACAAATAATGTTCCTCTTGATAAAGTGTGCTACATGTTTTGCAGTGAGTTTAGCATATGAATGTGCTTCAACTCACTTTGTGAAGTAATCAATTGCTACTAAAAAGTATTTGTGACCTCCCGTCCCAGGAGGGGTAATTTTACCGATGATATTAATTCCCCATGTTGAGATGGAGGAACATATTACAAGTTTAGCGTATATTTGGCATTTAGGGAATCTTTTTACATCTTGATGACAGTCCCTATTCATGGTAGTCCAATTATACCCTTCTCGCATTATCTATTAGACTAGCATTTTACCATTAACATGAGTTCCACAAATGCCTTCATGGACTATCCTCATAGCTCTTTGGGCTTCCTTTTTTCCTACTACAGACACCCATTTGTGTCTCCCCTAAACCAAACCCGATGATGAGTATCTTTCACGTCGAATCATAATCGAATGAAGTGAAAGTGTGGGAAGTCTAGTGTTGCGGATAGTTTTAATTTCTTTTCTCTTCTCTCTGTTTTTGAAAACCTATTTTTAAGAAAACAACCAATCCAGTTTGGTTGGTCCATAGTATGGGTCCAATAGTTATGTATTTGGATGGGGTTGAAAAGAGCTTTCCAACGATATATTATAAGCCCAATTTCGATATATAATGAGGAAGTAATGGCCAAATTACTAAACTGGGCCCAGTTTGAGCCTTATATGCGGCCCAATGATCTAGAGGAGGGCCTAATATAGATTTATCATTACTAATGCAATTAGAATTGATTTTAGTCTTCTAGATTCATCTAGAAGGTTCTTTTCATTCCTAATTCAATTACCATTGATAAATTGACTTTTGTTGACTTTTTAGAGTTTTAGCCAGAATAAAAAGAGTGTTTTTAAGGAAAATACAATTTTTCCCTTTTGTACGGCTAAATTTTATCTGAATTTAGAAAACGAGTGAAAAAATTAATTAGTGCCTAACGCCAGACATTAGCACCTGGCGCTAATGTTCAGCACTTGGCGCTAACTTCTTTTTTTTCTCGTCGAAACTCTGATTTTTTTTTTCTATCCTTTCGGCTGATTTTCTCTATAAATAGCCTCCTAAAGTCTCCATTTTCAATCATCAATTCTCAACAACTCTCTAATTCTCTTCTCTCTCGAAGCTAAAGCTTATTCTTTTTCTCTCTTTTCTAAACCAACCTTTTCTCAAAAGAAATTCCGCATTCACAAGATCAGGAAACACCTAGCATTGTTCGAAGTTGCCTTTTCCCTAGATGTGAAAGGTTTTAATATATGAGGGTTTGGCCCCTTATATCTCTTTCAATTGTTTAATTTAATTATTGTTTATAATTTTCATTGAAGTTACTAATGCGTGTATTTTGTTATTAGAAAGAGGTACGAGGCATCCAAGTAAGTTCTTTAATTGTTTGCATTGATATTATGATGTAGAAATCATGCTTGGGTTGTTATTATGATTCCTAGCATCATGTTAGGGTGTTTTGATCTTCCTAGTATCATGTTTAGGGAAACAACTAAAAAATCTTAATGTCAAGTGTTATTAAAAGTATGATGCCTTTTATATTCTTTCCTAATATCAAGTTAGTATCATGTTAGGGTTAAAGATTTGATTTTTAATTTTTAGTGCATGCTAGGGTTTGTTATTAATCTTGTTAGTATCTTGCCTAGGATCTTGCTATTATTATGCTTTAGCGTTGATATGATTATGATTATTTTTATATTTATTATGATAATTATAATATTGATTATTATTTATGATGATAATTATGTTGCTTGATTATATTTATTGTTATTGCTTGATCACGTCTTTTATGCATGTTTAAAGGGAATTTGTACTTGTAATCACGCTTAATAAGATAATTAATAATCTTGTTTAGGGTTAATTTGATTATAATTCAAGTGATCGCCAATAATAGTTTTATCTGTGCATTAATATTCAACCAACATAGATTAAACATGTTTAGGGTTAATCCTAATAATGATTGCATGTTAGTTAGAAAGCGCACATGAATACGATCAGCATAAAGTAGAGGCCTATTATTAGGGCAGGTTCAATCTTTTTTAGATTGGATTTGTACCTTCATCCACAAACTACCAATCATGGTTCTAGACCTATTGGAGTTGCAACCTCTTGGATCGTTAAGGGGTGTAAACTTCACCTCGTGAACGGTTTACAAGTCCCTTTGGACGCCACCGCAAAAGAGGCCTTCAGTCATTAAAAGGAAAGCACAATCCTTGGCAAAAAAAATCAATTAATCAAACCTCCAAAATTAATGACCATGGCACCTGAAAATAACTTTATAATAAACACAAAAAGTAAGTGCAAAACACAAAAAGTAAGTACTAAACACTATAATGTCTTATGATTAAGAAAGTTCCAAGAATTATAGTAACATAGGCATATAAACTAGCAATTCATGCTAGGAAAAAGCCTTGACTCCTTTTGGTTTTCTTGATTGTAAAAAAATACTATTTACCTGGTTGTTAAAATTAACTAGAGTCCTCTATTTGCAAGTTGCTGCAATAAGTCCCTTTTAAAAGCCTCCATTTGCTCTTCTTGTTGTTTTTTGTACTCCTCTAGTTCTTGTTGTTGCTTTTGCTGGCTTTCTTCTAGCTCTTTAATCTTTTTTTCTTATTCTTGAATTTTTTCTTGTTGTTCCGATACAAGTTTGTTTTGATCTGGTTGTTGTTTGTTTTTACAATAAGCCCGGATAGCAGAACCTTTTCCACGAAAGTGACCAGACCTTGAACCTAAAACTTGAATCAATATCTCCTCTTGAGTCATTGAATCCCCTACCTTAGAAACAACATCTTTCATTTTATCCTGAAAGATATAAAAAAATCCAGAATAGAAAAACATCAGATTACATTAAATCATAAATTAGAAAGTCATTACTTTAGTAGGACATACATGTACTTCTTTTGAGCGTATCCCATCTGCCCGTTCTAGCTCGCCTTTCCCATTATAGTGTGTGTGTTCAATAAGCCATATTACATCTGCAGAAGGCTTTACATTTCCATTCTCTTTCGTCTACATATTCAAAGATCAATAAGACTAATTTTAAAGATAATGAAAGCAAAAGAATTTACTTTTTTAACCCATACATGAAATCAATCTTACCATTACATCTTCTACTTCCACAAAAGCCCAATTTCTAGTTGTATGAATACATCTATTGGTAGACAGTCGATTCTTAGAGTTCCTTTCACTTACAAGCTACATGAGTAGTTTTCACAAAAAAAAGGTAGGTTATTACTTATAGAATGCTGACTAATTTAATGCTTTTGATTAGGAAAAATTACCTTAAATTCAGGTGATCCAAAATGCTTTACACAAGATTTCCATTTCTGTAAGGGTACATCAGGGGGAGGATTCTTTATAAGCTCAGCATCATCTTTTCCACATTTGGGACTCTTGTAGTAGTAATGTAGCCGACATTTCCACAACCTATATAATCGCTGCATGGTGTCGACAACAAAACCGTACATCTTCAAAGTCCGGCTAGATTCAATTTCAAACTTGTCCTACAATGTAAAAACAATATAAGTAATAAATAGTTAAACAGAATTTACAACATTATGGTATTCCTTTTTTTTATCTTAACAACAATTATCAAGTTAATGTGCTAGTGTTATCTGTATTTCTTTCCACATACTTTCACCAGCAACTGAAAAAGCTCCCTGCCAATTTCGAACATCCAATGGGGCTTTAGTTCTGACCACACGACCACACTCATTCACTAGGTGTCTTGCATTTTCTCCAATTGCACGATCAATTTCATCAGGGATGTAAACTGAAAGTTTAGAGCCTTTTCCCTTGATTTTCATGTCAACAACATAACTTTTATATTTTCCCCTGTTTCCTCTTCCCCTTCTCTTACTTGTACCTGTTAGCATATAATAAAGTCTTACAAAGTATTCAAGAATTTCATAAAATCTACACATGTTATTAACTTTAAAATTTACCTTGAGTTGCGTCTTCTAAATCTTCCATATTATCAATTTCATTGGCTTGTACTTCTTCATCATTTATATTTTCCTCCCTTGGCTTAGTGGGTTTAGGAATTGCAGCTAAGTTCACTTGCAAAGCGTTTACAACTCTTGATGTTAGCCTATTGGATCTCTTTCTCATACCAAGTGCACCTAAAACCAAATCATGTTAACATGTTTGTATTTATGAATCAAATATGGTTTAATATTGATTATTATTTTAAGAAACTTAAACACTATTAACTTACCTAAAGCTGGAATGAAACCTTGAGATAAATCATTTGCTTCATCATTTTGGATATTCTCTACATTATTATCAGGGGTTTGGACATAACTATCACCCTGAGTTGGAGACTCTATCTCTCTATCTATGTCCATCATAGTAGATGGTGCTCGTTGTCTCTCTAAATCTGTAAGTATATAAATAACTAGTCCCTATTAACTAAATGTAGCAAAAAAAAAATTCGGCATTCTCAATTGAATATTATAGACAGAAAAAAAAGGATATTATTTTTTTAATTTAAAACAGAATGTTACAGTATGTGTACAAAGTGTCTTACTTCTCAGAGCCATTTCAATTTGTCTGTCCCTTTGAGATGGACTACCAATTCGACCTTTGTTTCGATCGGAGACTTTTCTCATTATTGTTCCTTTATTTACAAACAAAAGATATCACTATATATGAGAATTAGAGCCAGACAACGTTAGAACATAATTTTGCTTACCTTTTTCTACCACATAAGCACCATCTTGCATGTGACGTTGGGTAAGTCGATTAGCTTGATTTAGACTTTGAATCTTCCAGGTGCAATAACAAGATTACCCGTACTCTTGCCTCCTCCTCTTCTTGGCATCTTTTTTGTACTGACGGTATTATCTTCTTATTCCTACACCAATAAAAATATAGCAGTACTAGTAGAATTTTAAAAAAAAAAACCTGTTAATTGATGCTTAATACAAATTATTAAATCAATAATACTTAAATCTCATGTTAGTGTTCTTACAAGTATATTCATTTTTTAGCAAAGTAAAAGTATTCTGTTTACCAAAGAAGATGATCAATTACAGTCCAAAAGGTCAAAACATCCAAATCAGCATATCACAATTAAAACTTGAGGCAAAAAACAAACTACACTAAACAACACCAAAAGCATAGCATAATAAAACAAAAAAAACATGGAACAATAAAGTTTACTCATGATAAATTAAAACGAAGTAGTCACTTATGTGTCAGAATCAAACTCCTCTTCTTTTTCTTCACTTGAGATGTCATCAAACTGTTCAATTTCACCGTCATTTATAAAGTCATAATCTGCCTTGTACTCCTCCATGAATTTTCTTACCATTTCAACAACCTTTGAATCTCGTTCAATCACAAATGTGTCTGTAGATAACACCAAATTAGCAACATTTGAATCAGAAGTAAAACATTGCTCTTGCATTTCTCCTTGTTGAAATGCATCCACATCCACTTCATTATGAACATCGACATCATCCCCATCTTGTCCATTGACACCAGCACTAAGCATATTATACAAATCCCTTGGAAGTGTCTTAATAAGGAACTGCCAGTCTTTCTCTCGCGGGTCATCAACAAAAAAAAACATGTTCAACTTGTGACTCCAATACAAAAACTTCATCAAACTTTAAGGAACTCATCTTGTTTACACTTATATATCCAAATTCATCTACCTTAAACCCTCTACCTTGGCATCCAACATCATACCAATTACATTTGAAAACAAATACACGATTTCCTTCAGGGTAATGCATTTCAAATATGTCTCCTAAAATACCATAATATTCTTTATCAGAGGTATCATCTCCCCGGACCATAATGCCACAATTCTGAGTTTTCCTATTTTCACAACGATCCTTGCTGTGAAATCGAAAACCATTAACAATGTAACCAGTGTACCGCCTAACAACTCTTGAAGGACCACAAACCAAATTATACAAATCATCATCGACATCTCCTTTTTCATGCATATTTCGTACCTAAAACAAATAAAAATACTTATACTAAGAAAGTCACGGCATTTAAGTACTAAAATAATCAATAATAAACATCAAAGAAAATGAATGAAAAGTATGTACTATAAAAAATAGCATACATGCTGATAATTCCATTTGGAAAATTCTGCTTTATGCCTTCGTTCTATATTTCTTGTGCACTCCTTTTCCAACTCTAGCTTGAGCCTCCTGTAGAAATAAATTTTAAATTAAAATATACAATATTGGTGAACATAGAAATATAATCAAGAGGATTAAATAAATTTAGACAAGAATGCAAGAACAAGTATAATTTTTTTTAAAGAACTTACTCAACAAACTCAATAAGCTCATCACAATTATGGAGAATATAAGAATGAATTTGATCACACTCCTCAAAACTGAGATGTACAGGAACACCCTGTCCAATATAATGACCAAGTGGTCTAAATATCTCAAGATTTGAAGTCCTGGTACCTTCAACAACCTCATCCCCATCATCATCATTTCTTGCTTTTCGATTGAACTTAGTATCAATGTCACTCATATATCTTGAGCAGAATGTTAAGCACTCATCTGCAAGATAACCTTCGGCAATAGAACCTTCAGGATGTGCTCTATTTCAATGTAAGCTTTTAATGTTTGGATGTACCTAAAGGTTAAAACAAATTTTAAAGTTATTACCAAAAAAGAAAATTAAACAATAAAATATTATAAAAGTGGGCTACCTCTCTATAGGAAACATCCATCTATATCTGACAGGTCCAGCAATCTTAGCCTCTACCGCCAAATGTATAACTAAATGCACCATCACATCAAAGAAAGCAGGGGGAAATACCATCTCTAACTTGCATAATGTGTAAGGAATTTGCTGCTCAAGGGTTTGCAGCTCACGAATACTTATACTTTTGGAGCATAAGTTCCGAAAATAAGAACTTAATTCAACCAGAGGCTTATACACTTGTTTTGGTAAGAAACCTCAAATGGCAAGGGGAAGCAACTGCTCAATAAACACGTGATGATCATGGCTTTTCATACATGAAAACCTTTTTCCCCCATCTTTCACACAACGCAAAATGTTGGATAAATATCCATTCGGAGATTTTATGTTCCCAAACATATCACATATGGCAGCTTTGGCATTTTGGCTCAAACAGTAGCTTGCAACAAGCACACGGACTTTGTTTCCATCTAATATAGGGTGCAACTCCTCCCTAATCTTCATTTTCACTAAATCCACTCGAGCCTTCATGGTATCTTTGTTTTTTCCTTTTATTTTCATTTAAGTACCCAATATATTATCAGACACATTTTTTTTGATGTGCATAACATCTATGTTATGGCGGAGTTTTAGTTTTCTCCAATATGGTAGTTCAAAGAAAATGCTTTTTTTATGCCACCAGTACGAACTACTAGAGGAATCCTTTTTTCTCTTTTTAGAAGGTTTTCCAAAATCAGCCGGTGTGAAGCAACTACAATGTTGCAACACTTCATCCCCGCTTAAAGGCTTTGGTGCACGCCCCCTTTCTATCGTATCATCAAAGGGTTTACTCCACTTTCTCTACTTCTGACTAAGTGGTAGCCAACGATGATGACGTAGATAGCCACCTTTATGCATCAATTTAGTGCGATTAGTTTCCTTGAGGAAGCATGGGCAAGCGAAATTACCTTTAGTACACCAGCCAGACAAATCACCATAAGGGGGAAAGTCATTAATTGTCCACAAAACAGCAGCACGCTGTCTGAAATTTTCCTTACAATATGCATCATAAGTTTAAACTCCCTCTTCCCAAAGCTCCTTCAATTCATCAATTAGTGGCCGAAGATACACATCTATATCCCTTCCGGGATTTGTTGGTCCTTGTATAAACAAAGTTAACATAAAAGAATGGGGTTTCATACATAACCAAGGAGGTAAGTTGTAAGGAATGAGAACCACAGGCCATATACTATATGGCGAATTGGGAAAAGGCTGAAAACCATCACAAGCTAGCCCAAGCCTTACATTACGTGCATCTGATTTAAACTCATTGAACTCTTCGTCAAATGATTTCCATGCAACTGAATCAGCAGGATGCCTCATAATATCATCATCCTCTCTTTCTAATTTATGCCACTGCATATCTTTAGCAGTTTTTCTTGACATATACAACCTTTGCAACCTAGATTTCAATGGAAAATACCGTAGATTCTTGTGAGGAACTTGTACTCCCTTAGAAGAGCCTTTTTTATTATCTGTTTTCCACCTTGACAAACCACATTTAGGGCACTTGTTCAAATTTTCATGCTCTTTCCAGTAAATGATGTAGTCATTTTGGCAAGCATGAATCTTTTTATAATCAAGACCCAAGTCTTTGATCAACTGTTTTGCCTCATAATAGGAATTTGGAAGAGTAGTACCCCAAGCTTGGTGCTGCAACTTCAGTAAATTGTCAAAAGAGCTATCACTCCAATTATTGAGAACCTTCAAGTGAAGCAACTTCACAATATATGACAACTTTGACATTTTAGAGCCATCAACTGTCAAAGGCTCTTGAAATTCTTTAAGAAGTCGGTAAAACTTTATAGCATCTTCATTAGGTTCTGCATGACTATTCTTAGTAATACCTTTCATGTTTTGCACATCGTTCCCTAAATTCATGCTAGTAATGCAACAAGCATCTTGTAACATATTAAGTTCACTATCATCGTCATCATCTAAATCATCATTTTCATTGACACTTTGTAAAATTTCCCCATGATATTTCCATAAGGTATAGTTCTCATACATCCCCACTTAAGTAAGTCTGATCTTATATCACATCTCTTTTTACAAAATATATTTCGACACTCATTACAAGGACATCTAATAGTCTCATCTATTCTTACATGGGAATAGGCAAAATTTAAAAAGCCATCAACGCCTTTAACATAATCAGGAGACGATCGATTTATTTTTTTCATCCAAGTCTTATCCTAATCCATCTCCTAGTACTCGAAAAAAAACATGTAGATTAATAACACAATACAAGGATATAAATTTATAAATTATAGAATTAAAAAAAAAAACAACCATTTTATAAATTATAGAAATAAAAAAAATAAATAAATAAATAAACCCACAACCCACAACCTGCCCCTCAAAAACAATGGCCCTACTAGATTAGCAGATTCAGCTCATCAAACAATTTCTCTAATGACTAGTGGTGGATTAGATATAAAAACCACTAACCGCATTGTATTAATAAGCTTTGGAAACTTAGGCTTGCATTATGTTCTGCTCATATATGTACTTTGGTTATAATATTCTTACTCACTTTGTTTTTGTAAGTAACAATATTCACTAATGAATAACAATATACTCAATTACTCACTCCGTAGACACTTTGAAGGCTTGAAGCTACCAGCATACTGACACACGTACTACTTAATGCACCCACCAGTGTTGGCAGGAAGTTGGCAATCGTCAATGACTATAATATAAGCTATGACTATATTATGGTACGATTCGTCACAACTTATACAACGTACTAAGGTTGCATATACATTCAATTCATTGATTCAATGCCATTACCGCCTTACCGTACACCACAACAACATAAGCTAACTCAACTGCAAACCTCACACCCACCTTAGGAGGTTTTCAATAATCACCCCAAACTAAACTGACAATTCAACCAACAACCCAACAAATAGGAAAAACGAAAACTACAACGGCAACCCAGAAATTCATATGAAATTAATTTTCAATGACAAGCTAATTTGAATGTAATATCATGCAACACATATTATCAACTATAAATTGAACTCAACTTCCACTTAGAAATAACCTTTGCCATCCAACAATTACAATAATTATGAAATTAACCCTTAAAATTATACCGAGATTGGTACCCAGATGCTCGTAACAACTAATAATCCTCTACTAGTAAAATTCTTCAGATCTAACCCTTCAATAAACCATAAAATTGAACCCATCATTTTTTTAAAACCCAGAAATTAAATTGAACCCGACAAAATTAAGACCCTAAAAATTGAACACAACAATTAAAAGTTAGAAATCTTACATGCAAAGGCCAAGTAGTGTCGCCGGAGAAAGGATGCGTCGCTGGTGAAGTCATTCACTATAGCCGCCGCCGAAGAAAAATGAAGGGCCGAAAATGAAATGGCATGCGTGAGGTTCTTGAGTGGGAAAGTAGTCTGGGGTATTTTTGTTCTTAGAATAAGAACAAAATGAAATAAAAAAGGGTGGGAATTGCGTGAGGTTCTTTTGTTTAATTTGGCTATTTGTTTTTTTATTAATCTTTGATATATTGTTGGCAATGACTATTATTGTTGTTAAACATATTGATCATTTTTTACACAACTACACTTGTTACAATACTCGAGACTTTATTTTTTGCAACTACTGTTGTGGCTATACATTAAATTTTTTTTTAACGACTACTTTCGTTGCAAATCATAGTTTTTAAATTTTTACCCCGAAATTTTCATTGCCCGCACTAATGGTTGTTGGAGGGAAACGAAATTTTTATTTTTTGCAACAAAATTTGCAACGGTATAATTGTAGTCGTTGCCAAAATTATATTTTGCAACGAAAAACTTTAAGTCGTTGCAAAAACTTGTTGCAATAAATGGTTTTTCTTGTAGTGTATGTAGTGAAGCTTTCATTCTCTTTGTGTTTGAAAATAGAGAGTTCATATTCAGAGGTCTTAGCTTGGATGTTACACTTATAACAACTCATAAAACTTTCAGTAATATCCTCCTAAGTTGCAGTATGCTAGGAATCTAAAGAGTAAAACCATTGTTGACAAGCATGCTCCAAGGAACGAGGGAACACGGTAGGGAAGAGTGCTACATCTAATCCTTTGAGGGCCATATTTGCAGAAAAAGCCTTTAACTGAAAACATAGGGTTATCTGCCTTGATAGCCAAAGAAGTGGCAGGTTTTTCCACGTAGGTGAAGTCCTCAAACATCTTGCTCACTTGTTCCTTTATCTTGTCCATTGCAGCCAAAGAGACATTAGTTTTCTCCATAGTGTAGTCCTTAGTGATGAGTGTTTGCACCATAGCAGCAAGTGCTTTAAAGGTCTTGTTGAGGCTCTCAACGTCTTCCTTAGTGGCCATTGGAATGAATTCAAAATGAACTGGATATGAAGGTGAACTCTATGGAGATGATTGCGGTTGTTTTCCTGTACGCCTCTTAGGTTTAAGAGGTTGTTGGGGAAGTAAATTGAACCGTAACAATATACCTCGCTGCTCGACCAAGAGCTGTAACATTGAAATAAACGCACCTTTAATGACTACACTCAACCTTGACCCATCCGGAAATAAAAAGGAAAGAAAAAAAAAGAAAAAAAAGTTTTTTTTATACGTGGAAAGAAAGAAGCATGTATGGGAGGATACCATCTGACTTACTCCTAAAAAAGGTGAAAAAAATACAAGACTCTCCGAATGTACGATCATGAACAAAATGGTGCATGACTCAAGGAAAAGTGTGTAAAGGTTGTTATGACTTGTGAGTGATTAAGTGAGGTTGTAGACGCGTGTAATGACCGTACAGCTAAACATGACACCAAACCAGACATACGAACCACATACGTACACACAATGAACAAAAGTGGACTGACATGACACTTTTTCTGGGGCACAGTATCACGATACAAACTGTCGTGACACAGTGCAGTATACCGCCAGACGGTACAAAGCGCCGTGTCACGACACTGCAAACTGTGGCGCGGCAGAGCAGCTGTTACACGGTGCATAGTTACAGGTCAAGTTTTGTGAAATTTCCAGATTTTATTCAATTTTAAGTCTGTACTAATTACTATGTGGAAATAAAAACCCTCGGTCATAGTTTAGTCCAAAAAAAATGAACAAACACATGTGGGGTTAGCACCAAATAAACCACTTAGCATTTAGTCACAATGATACAAAAAAAGTTCGCAACCTAAGGTCAAGATCTATGTTCGAATATGGTTAAGTTTTTAGGTGTCAAAGGTTACCATGGTTTAGAGTTTGGAAGCATTAGCAAGGTAGCCTCCCTTGAGGGTGTATGCCAACACACGGCTACACGAGTTCGTGATGAAATCGAACTCGATTCCATGGTTTAGGTGGATTTAATAACTTGGATGAACCCTTATTGCCATTAAATTTTTTGGGTTGATAGAGCTTAAATTCCACGAGGCTAAGAAATGTGTGTAACGCACACATTTTTTCAGAAAAATCGAAGGAAGATGATTGTGAGAAGAGAAATGAAGCAACTGGAAAGATTTCAGGACTGACGCGACACGGCAGAATGTACCATGTCACGGTGCTGAACATCGTGTGATGGTGCTCTGCACCGTGACATGGCAAGTTCTGCCGTGGTGCGGCAGTCAGGAAATCTAACTGGTAACTTTTTTTTCTTCTTTCGCGATAAGGTTATTCAATTTTTGCTACAGAATAGACCTGAATGCGACGTTAAAATGTCTATGCTTATGCAAAAATGCTAAATTAATCACCGGAATACGATTTAAGAATTTTTCAAGTCTCATCCACTCATCTCAATTAAATACCGAAAACTCAAATCGATAAATAACCAAGAATCCTCCCCAATGGAGTCGCCAAATTGTAAGCGTCGTTTGAAGTGCCCGTGTGTTAGCCTATTTTGAATATGCTCGGCACTCATAGGAAGTGGAATTGACATAATACAGTTAGAGACAAAAAAAAGTCGGGAGCCGCAAACAAGTTTTTAAGAAAATTGTAAACCGTTCACAGATCATAAAAGGCAACCACGATAAAGGGACAACGATAGGCAACAACGATTGACCTGTGAAGGTTACACCCCATTCATAATCCATGAGATTACTAACTCCATATGGTTCGAAACCACGAAAGGAGGATCTAGGATGATGGTACGAAGTGAGTCACGGAGTCACATTCGCTTGTATTGGCCTCTACTCGATTCTTATTATGAAAAGTGATTCATGCGATCTCAAAGGCATGCAAAAAAATATTTCCTTCGCTCCTAACTATTATTTCGCTAAATTGGTTGAATATTAATGCAACATATAATTCTAAAATATTTGTGATCACTTTGATTAAATAACAAGATTAAAAAGGAACCTAAACCGGTCGTCAGAATTATCTTATTAGTCGTAATTTTCAATAACATTATTCCCTTTAAACAAGCAATATGGTGATCAATAAATATATAATAGAATAAACATTAATTTTTGAAGCAATTTCACCATAATCCAACAATATAAAATCGTTAGAAAAATAATAGAAATAAAAGGAACATGATTCATTACTTTGATTTTGCTTGCTTGCAACTATAAAACAATAAACGAGTTAGTAACTTTAAGGAAATAAATTAAACAATAAATAAAATTAAATTAAATAGAGTTGATTTTGGGCCAAACCCTCAAACTGTTCTACCTTTCACACCATGGTTTAAGGACAAAACCTCGGGTAAAGTATGGACTCCTTAGAGTGCTTAAATGAAGTATTTTGAAGAATAAGGTAGGCTAGTTTTTAGGCTAGAGCATAGAAGAGAGAAGAGAGAATTAATTGATGCTTCGAACTGCAGAAATGAGGGGGGTATTTATTGGGAAAATGAATAGAGGGAACACACAGAACCCTAAAAAGATAAAACCCTAAAATTGGTTGCCGCGACATGTTAGCATATTGTCGCGACATTGCAAAATCTTGCGTGACACGGGAAATTGTTGTGTGACACGGGAAAGTAGCAGCCCTAAAATGATATAAACACGTTCAAGTTGTACGAGGAGAAAACACGGGAAATTCCTGTGTCGCGGCATGTGCACCGTGACACGGAAAACTATGCCGCGACACGGAAAATTCCACCGTGGCGCGGCACATGATGCTGTGACAGGGTGGACTTTTTTTTATTTTTACGTCTAAATTAATTTTAACCCTAATTACGCTCAGCATTTTTAAGTGCCTTTTTATAATTTCAACTATTTATGTTTATTAATTGGGCTAAATTAATAAATAATATGAAATGAATAAAAAAGGTTTGGACCAAAATATAAATTGGACTATGCTTTAATTAAGATTAGAACTAATCCATTGACTGCTTAATAAACTGAGTTTGATTGAACATGGGCTTAAAGCACTCCTGGGATTAAACACTCGACCTGACCAATAATGGCGGTGAAAGATTGTTCATCATCGGGTTTGGTTTCGGGGAGACATTTTTAGCTGTCTACAACTATAAGTTGACCAACTAGGTCGTTCAATCTGGACCGTCTGTATGCGTTTATAGAGCAATAATGTGTCACCCAAATCGGAGATGCTCTCTGCGACGTATTAACCCGAATGGGTGTCATCGGACGTCATACTCATGTTGGATCAGACGTATTTATAAATTTAAATATCTTCCGGCCATTAGCCTCATATTGTCTTTTAAGATAGTTATTTAGCAACTAATTTTGTAAACCTGGCTTTTATTTGACATAAGAGTAGGCCGTCTTCACATTACACAAGCGGCGCTTGTATATAAAGCAATATATAACAAAATTAAAAATAAATAGCAGCTTTTCATTGATAGACTTTTCATTTAGAAAAATTTACAGATCTTAGAAATAGTACTTTTTTAGGTTGTCTACATTCCAAGTTTTGGGCAGTCGCCTGCTATAGGAGTTTATAGTTACTACGCAGCGGAAAAACATGAATCATATTCAATCAAGTACCTATTCCAAGAATCGCATGTATAACACAAAAGACACATAATCATACCTTTGATGTGTGAATTCCACAAAGCTATTCGACAAGCAAATCAGGGAGAGAATAGAGCCCCAAGCGTTGCTCCTCTACTTAGTCCACGAGATTCAAACGAGCTGTCCACCAATACTAGATTGGTCGAGTGATTGAGGAAAACCGCGATGACCACCTTTACGGACAACTGACCACCACACGAACCACCACCACCACGAGACACTACCGGCGTCGAGGAGGAGGAGAGAGCCGTGTGAGAGAGAGGAATATGAGAGGGTTGGGCTTCGTGTTTGCTTATTAGGGTTTGAACTAATGTTCAATTAATTTTTCTTTCTTGCAAACCTATACACCTAGTCTATTTATAATCTCATTATAATAAGACTAGGGCATTAAGCCCAAAACCTCTTCTAGTTCTCCACATGGCCGGCCACCTAGAGTGATGAGGCCCATGATGGGCCTCGTACTCTAATGCTCGATCTAGCCCCTTTGTGTGACCTTATAGGATCCGTCCAATTGGGCTTTGGGCTATTTTACTAGTCCAAAGATCATTAGTACCTCTAGCTATGGCAAAACGACGACCCAAATGTACGAACTTAATTATCTCCATAACTTGATCCATTTATATATCTAGTAATTGCACACGACAAAG